AAAGAAGTGCTTTATATAGTTATATAGTTAATGAACCTTCTGTGACATAACATCACCCTCAGCATCAGCATCATCAAAGCCACCATCTATTCTGGGCTTCAAGCTTTGCTCCAGAGTTGACACACCACAGCCCACATGCCAAATTCATTTGTCTTTATTTGGTTATTCAATTAATTAATTTTTTGTTTGTTTTTTGAGACAGGGTTTCTCTGTGTAGTTTTGGAGCCTGTCCTGGATCTCACTCTGTAGACCAGGCTGGCCTTGAACTCCCAGAGATCTGCCTGGCTCTTCCTCCCAAGTGCTGGGATAAAAGGCATGCACCATCACTGCCCAACTCAATTAATTAGTTTTTGAGAGAAGATCTCATGTAGCCCAGGTTGGCCTTGAACTTATTATGAAGCCAAGGATGTGTTGAATTTCTGATTCTTCTGCCTCCACCTCCTGAATTCTGGAGTCTCAGGCATGTGCTGCTGCAACCAGTTTATGTAGTGCTGGGAATCAAATCCAGGCCTTCATATGTGCTGTTCCAGCATTCTACCAACTGAGCTGCATCCCTAGTCCCCGCAACTTATTAGTCTACACTTTATTTTTAAACCAAGACTTATAAGCATCTGAATTTGAACAATTGGGGCTGTGATGTCACTGGCAGGAGGAGGGACACGTGGTGATACATTTTAGACATACATCAGGGAAATTAAAAACTGTAGCTGTCAGGCTGGTAAAATGGCTCAGTTGGTAAAATACTTGCCACACAAGCATAATGACCCCGGTTCTTTTCCCAGAACCTACATAAAAATCTTGGAGTGGTATCTGGTGCTGGTAGAACAGTGCTGGGGAGGTGGAGGCAGGAAGGTTCTTGAAGTTCCCTGACCAGCTAGTCTAGCCTACTTGGCAAGCTCTAGACTAGTGATAGAACCTGTCTCAAAACCCTAAAGTGGATGGTGCTTGAAAAATGATCTACTGGCCTCCACATGTGTGTGCACATGGATGTGCATGCACACACATCCACATGATGTAGCTTCTGAGAAAGAACAGTATTGTGGGGCATTCCATGGTATTAAGTTGTGGAGCCTACTACCTATGATGGTACACCTCACACAGCCTTGAGGCAGGGGGAGGGGCTTGAACTTGCCTCTACTGGATGTACCTCCCCTGGGAGGCCTTGCCTTCTTGTGGAGGGGAAGGGGGGAGTGGTTTGGGAGGGGGAGGCTGAGGGGAACTTTGATTGGCATGCAAAATGAATGGAAAAATTTTCTTAATTAAAAAAAAAGAGCCGGGCGGTGGTGGCGCACGCCTTTAATCCCAGCACTCGGGAGGCAGAGCCAGGTGGATCTCTGTGAGTTCGAGGCCAGCCTGGTCTACCAAGTGAGTTCCAGGAAAGGCGCAAAGCTACACAGAGAAACCCTGTCTCGAAAAACCAAAAAAAAAAAAAAAAAAAAAAAAAGAATTTCAAAGTACATTTTGAGAACGGGAGCCTGTGAATGGGGTTTATTTGTAAGGAGTACATGGCCCAAGGACCCCTCCCCCTCCTCAAATCATGAGGTCTGGAGTTCTGGGCAAGGCCCTTCCTCTCCTTTACCTCATAACTGCGTTGTCTCAGACTTCCTTTCTGCAATTATAATGTGTGATGGTTAGTTCTAATTGTCAACAACTAGTAACTTACTCTACAGTTAGTCAGCAGTTCTAATGGACACAATCCAGAGTCACTTGGGAGGAAGGCTCAGTGAGGGAGTGTCTGGATCAGACCAGCCTGCGGGCTGGAGAGTGCTGGCCGAGACTGAAAGTGAGCAGCTGCGGCATTCCCGGGTTTGTGTCCAGTGTTTCACAAAAGAGAAAAGTGTAAGCTATGCACAAGTGTGCGACTCAAGTGTGTGTGCATTTATTCTCTCCCTGCGCTCTACTCCCCTGGTAAGTTGCCCAGTCTGGTGCTGCCTTGACTTCCCTGCAGTGATAGACTACAGTCTCAGATTGTGAACTAAAACAAACCATTTCTCCACTAAGTTGCTTTATTATCTCAACTACATCAAACGAAACTAAGACACCACTCACTTGTAAACAGGAAGTTGACACTCAAAGCTGCTAAGTCATCTGCCGAAAGCCATAACTCCTATTTGATAATCTGGGGTTCCTGTTGAGATTCTGAAAGTCCTACTTCTTTAATCGGTGTTGTTACCACCATGGTCATTGGTAATAATACTTGACTGATAGTCCACTCCCTGGTTAGTCTAGGCTGGTGGCAGGGAGCCGTGGAGATGCTCTTCTGCCTCTGCCTGCTTAGAGATGGGATTATAAGTGTGTCCCCAGGGCTGACTTTTCACATGGGTTCTGAGGATCAGACTGAGGTAGAGCCTCATGCTTACACAGAGAGAATTTGACTGACTAAAATACCTCCATAGCCCCCTCTAAATACTAAAGTATTATAAACAGCCTTTCATGCAGCCCAGGTTATCCTTGAAGTCACTATGATGTGAAGGCTGTCTTTGAACTTCTGAACCCTTGGCTTTCTCCTGCTATGGTCATCAAATTTTAATTGTAGGTGTAAATACTATCCACTGAGTGCATGCAAGTACAGAGTCCTAGACATCCACTCTCAGAGCCAGATCCCATAGAGGTACATCATCATTGCTTGCAAGGTTCTGATTCAGATGGTCCAAGAATGGAACTTGGGAAAAGTCTGAACTCCTTCACGTGTGTATTAGTCTGTTTAGGCTGCTTAAGAAAAAGGCAGAGACAGAGCAGCTTAGGCAGTTGCAATGTATTTTTTCAAAGTTCTGATTCATTTGATTTGGCTCTGGTGAGGGCTCTCTTCGCTGCTTGCAGACAGCCACCTGCTTGGCCTTTCTTTTGGGAGTGTGTACAGCTGCTTCTCTGGTATTTCTTCTTGCAAGGGCTCTAATTCTCTTAGTCCAGAGCCCTCCCACTTAACCATCATGGCTGCCTCAGAGATTCCATCTCAGGATTCAGCTACCTAGCAGAAGAGCTGGAGCTTCAACACCCAGTTTTAGAGGAAATACAGTCTATGGTAATATGGCACCTGAGGCTCTTTAGGATGTCATCTCCACAGACCCATGTATCTGCAGCAGCCTTCTGCCTTTGCACAGAATGGTCCAGTTATAGTAAATGATAACAGCCCCTCTATCTTGGAGGGACAGTTTCCCAGACTTCTTCAGGTACAATTTCTAGATACTTGCCATGTGAATTGGATCGGATCCCAGATTCCCATCATTCACTCCTCCTTCAAAGAGTTACACATAGAAATCTTACTGTCATCAACTGTGATTACCTAATATCTCTCCAGTCCTTGGCTTTATTAGTGATTGGTAGTGGGTCAAGAAGTTCAGACCTAGAATAGATTTCTGTCCGTGGTTCTTTGAATCAGGATTGGCTGGATGTGCTGAAGAGCTGCATTTGCTTCATGGATAATAATGATGGCCTACTCCTACCACCTCCACTGCAAGGATCATAAGTGTTGGACTTTCCTTACACTCAACATTGACTGTCAACCAGGGCTTACTTAACATCTCCTGTTTAATAGCTAACTCAGTATCTGGGGACATAGTCTATTATTATCACTAATTTTTGCCAGTGTTGGTTTTTGCCCTCTAGTAAGTCATAGATGAGTTGCTGCTTAATAACTCATGATACACAGGAGGATTCACATCCCTCTCCTGAACACACACATGCACATATGCACACAGACACACACACAGACAGACATACACAGACACAGACAGACAGACAGACAGACAGACACACACACACATATACACACACAGGAACAGGGATGGGGAAGAGGAGAGAAGAGGAGAGGAAAGAGAAAGAGAGACAGACAGACAAACAGACACAGAGTCTAATCAGTGGTGTGGCTGAGAAGTTCTGCTCAAGGAGCATCCTGGTGAGGAAGTGATTGCTATGTAGAGATAGAGGTCAGAGGGTCTTCCACACCTGGAAATGAGAAGTAAAAATGGGAAAGAATGTATGGCTTCTAATAGGTAAAGCTCAGTATTATGCCCAATAGAAAAGCGTATACTAGACAATTCTGAGTCATCGGGTTATCAGGAGAGGTAGGGAGCCTGCAAATGAGGGAGATGTGGCCCAGGTAACTGAGGGGAGAGGACTCATGAGCATCTTGGGATGATGTAAGAAATTGCCGCATTCTGCATGGATTTAAAACAATGGAGGTTAAGTAAAATAAAGGTGGTGGCAGTACCACACTCTCCCGGAAGTCTTCCAGTGATCCATCCTTGCTTCTTTTCACTTTCGGTAGCTCCAGTTTCCCTCACTGCCGGGTGTGTGACTCCAGCATCTTCCCTGTCTTCAGGTGACCTTCCTTCCTGTGAACCTGTGTGCCTCACAATCCCCCTGCCTCAGCCTTCGAAGTACTGAGATTGTGAGCTTATGCCCCCATACCCTGTTTCTTTAACTTACTTTCCTGAGGACAATTGCCATTGGACTTAGGGGCCACCTCAGTGAGCCAGGGTGACCTCACCTCAAGATTTTGATTACATTATAAAGGCCCCTTTCCTAGATAATACCACAGTCACAAGTTACAGATGTAGCATTTTAGAGCAATGCTTTTCAACCACTACAGAAGGGAGAGTGGAGGGGCTGGGAGAAAGTTCAGTCAGTCTTTGCTCATGAGCACAAAGGCCTGAATCAGACTGCTGCACTCTGGGAAAATGCTGGGGGTGTGCCCTTGTGATCTCAGCACAGGGGGTGAAGACAGGCGGGTCCCTGAGGCTCACTGGCCTGGCAGTCAGTGTGTAGTGAACTCCGGGCCCTTGAGGGACTCTATTCCAAAGGAGGTGGGCGAGATTCCTGAGGGTGACCCTGGAGAATGACATTCTCCAGTCTCCATGTGCAGGAATACTTTTGCATACTCCCCGCCCGCCCCCTGCACACATACAAACATGCCTTAAAAAGACAGGAATCTGCAATATGATTTACCAATTGATTTTCAGGAAAAGGAGATGCCAACGAGAAGAAAGTAATAGGCCAGGAACTGTACACAGGCTCTTTATTCTCACCTCCACAAATCCGCACTAACATGTAATGGACTACGTCTCTCCATCTTAAAGAGCTAGCAGAGGAGCAGCTGAGGTGTACAGGGATTGAGTGGAATCTGATCGTTTGCTCCAGAGCCTGGGTCTTTCTGGGACAATGGGAATATCTGCACCATCTCCGACCAGCAGCTGCAGGAGAGGCCAAGCTCAGAACATTTATTTTGAAACAGAAGTTATCATTGCTCTTCCTGGGCCTCCCCCAGCCTGGTGTTCAACTGCCTGGCTCTAGCAGCTGGAACCCAGGTGCTGGGCAGCCCAGCTGGCTCAGAGCCTCCCGAGGCAGGGGTGCAGTGGCAGACTCTGGCTGGTTCAGATGCAACATTCTTCCTGACATCCTTGGCCACTTGGCACTGTAGGGGAACCAGAAAAAGAGTCAAGGGTTAGAATTTTCTCTTCCTGCTGGGGCTGCTGGAATTGGTGGAAAGCAGTCAAGATTTCTTTTTAATTAAAACATTGCCTGTTTTGTTACTTTGCATATCTATGTGTGTGGTCTCTGTATGCATGTGTAATTGTGTGAAGAGGCCAGAAGTTTTCTTTTACTCTCCCCTTATCTATAGAGGCAGACTCTCTCACTGAACTGGGAGAGTGCTCTTTCAGATAGTGTGGCTGGCCAGCTTGCTGTGGTGATTCCCCATCTCCATCCCGACCGCTGGAATTACAGGCACGGCAGGCAGGTACCACACTCACCTTGTCAGTTCTCACGCTTGTGCAGCAAGTGCTTTGCCCACTGAGCCGTCTCCTCAGCTTTGAACCCACGGCTTTCTGCACGCCAGTGACTGCTCTCTCTCTCTCTGGCCTCTTAGCAGGGTTTTCTGAGAGGTAGTGTTAGAGTGTTAGGAAGAGCAGACCAGGGTGAGAAAACCTGAATTCAAACACCACCTCGGTCACTTATCTGTTATTATTACTGATGTGTATGTGTGTACGCGTAGGTGTGCAGATGCACAGGCCAGAACACAAGCCCAGGGCTGTTCCGTAGGTGTCACTCACTTGCGTTCCCAGACAAGGTCTCTACAGGTCTGAAACTTGCCATGTAGGCTAGTCTGGCTGGTCAGTGAGTTCCACCCCCCTGTCTCTGCCTCCCTCGTTGGTGGCACCCTACCTGGCCTTTCCCCCCAGCAGATTCTGGGAATCTAATGCAGGACCTCATGCTTGCAAGGCAAACGCTTCACTGGCTGGGCTGATTCCCCAGCCCCGCTTTGCTGTTTATGTGCCGTGTGGTCCTAAGTGAGTTACTCCAGTTCTCTGAGCCGCGGTTTCCTCCTCTGTAAACTCATCTGTGCTAATTTCTTCTTACAAAATACACCACCTTAAGCAATGCCCATGCCCTGCTCGCCCCTTGAGGACATGTGTTGGAGTACCCCGTGGCTCTTGTGATGCTTCCCTGTGCCCAGCCAGGCTCTGTTTCTGCTTGCCTGGATACAGCAGCTGTGAGACTGAATCCTATGGCTGGGCATCGTTCATCAAATGCAGATGTGGCGGCCTCATTGCTCAGGGATGAGACAGATTCTGGAGAAGGGGTGTTTGTTGTCCACAGCTCTGGGTCCTGAGTGACTCACTCTACCAGGGTTCTTCCACTTACGCAGAGTGAGTTAAGTTGAGCGGGTGCTTTAGCCCATGTCTTACAGTAACCTTGGCACTGATGCAAGTGTATTTTAAGAGTATCTTCAAAACTCAGTATATTATCATCTCTGCTTGGCACTGTTCCTCTGAACCTTTTCATGTTTGATGTCCTTCCTCTCTAAGTTTCGAGAGCAACCTACATTTCTTTTTACCATAGCCCCTGCAACACTGTATTACAATGGCCTCTTTATGAGACAGGGGCAGATCTGAATTCAAGAACTAATGATTCCTTGGTCCTCAGGCTAGCAGCAGCTGCAGCATCCTGTAGAAACATTGACACAGGTTCTGAGAGCACCCCAGACACCCTGCAGCAGAAACCCCAGGCCTGTGGCTGGCAAAGATGGTACCCAAGACCTTGTGCATGCTAGGCAGGTGCTCTGTCAGTGAGCTATACCCACAGCCCTATTTTTACTTTATTTATAGCTAGTGTCTCACTAAATTTCCCAGTCTGGCTTTGAATTCACCTTGCACCTTGTAGTACAGATTCTCCTTAAGCTTGAGATCCTTCTATGTCAGCTTCCTGAGGAGTTTGGACTGCAGGCCCGTGCCACCAGACCCCACTGGGATGGCAGGCCTCCGTGAGATCCTAAGGGCTGCCAGAGCTTCAGAACCTCCGACCTAGACCACTAGTCCTTGAGTGCGGCTGTGCTCTGGAATCCCTGAGAAGCTTTGGTGATTGTAGATGCTTTCATCTACACTCTGGATGTTCTGATTTTTTTGTGCAAGGATGTGGCCTGTCCACTAAAATTCTTCAAAACCAGAGGTTTTTGTTTGTTTATTTTTGAAACTGTATTCTAATTCCAGCTTTTCTCCCTTCCCTTTCCTCTCATATTTAGCTCCTTACTCTCCTTCAAATTCATGACCTCTTTTTCATCAGCTGTTAGTGCATGAAAATATGTATTTGTATATGCATATATATTACAAAACATAACCTGCTGAATCCATATACTGTTACTTGTATATATGTTTTCAGGGATGACCATTTGACACTGGACAACCAATTGGGATGTTTTTTTCCCTGGGGAAGGCCACCACTCTAGATCCCAGCTTTACTCAGCTGCCTGTAGTTCTTTGTGAAGGGTTGAGGCATCATGGGCTTTTCCATGTCTGGTACGCTCATTATTGCCCTTTTTGTTCAGCTCACCTTTGAGTGGTCATGTTGGTGAGACCGTGTGGGGGTAGTTTGTGACTAGGAGACACAATCATGTTTAGCAAGTGTAGGGACCACCAGCAGGGAACCTCACTTGCTGATTAGTTGGATGTGGCTGCTGAAGGACTGCTGGGCAGCTGGTAGATGACAGTCACAATCTGGTCTCCTGTAACTGCCTGTCACTTCTCTTTGACTGCCATTGTATTGTGGTGAAAACTTAGCATGGGTCTGTCTTCTTAATCTGCTTTCTGTGACAGGTGACCTTGAACTCCTGCTCTTTCTGCCTCCACATCCCATGCTGTGATTATGGTGTGTACCACCATGCCTGGTTTATACCATTCAGGAGATTGAACCTACAAGTGCATGAATGCTAAGCACACACTCCAGTACCTCAGCTGCCCTCAGCTTCTTCTTAACATCTTTCAAATATTTCCTTTATTATTTATTTATGTATATGAGTCTAAGTCTGTGTTCCGGTATGTGGATACATATATGTGGATACGTACAAAGGTCCAAAGAGGATGTCTGATCCCTCAGAGCTGGAGTTATAGGCAATTGTGAGCCACCAAATGTGGATACTTTGGGATCTGAACTTCAGTCTTCTGCAAGAGTAGTGAGAGTTCTTCCGCTTTCTTAACAACTTTTACAGTTTTTGTAAAGGTATAATTTAAATAGGCATTGTTAGTTATAGGGGCAATACAACGTAGGAGGTGACCTTGTAAAATTGAGATTTTATATTCCTTAATCAATAATTATAACCCAAACCCCGACCAAATTCCCCTCCACATTGTTTCTATGAGTTTAGCTGTTTCAAATGCCTCATAGAAGTGACATGTAAGAGTCATTCTTTTATTATTAGTTTATTTCATTTACCATATTGTCTTCAAGTCTCATTTATGTTGTAGTACATAACAGAATTTCTTTCCTTTTTAAAAAGCTAAATAATTCTCCATTGTATGGATCCAACATACAATTTATCCATTTATCTGCTGAGGTGCATTTGGGTTGTCTCCATGTCTTGGATGCTGTGAATCATGTTACAGAGAACATGGACGTGCAGGTGTCTGTCTGAGATCCTGGCTTCAGTTCCTTTGGTATACCCTGGAAGCAGGATTCCTGCATCACTTAGTATTGCTAAGCTTCTTTTGGACAACTTCCATCTGTTTTCTGTTCACAAGGGTCAGTCCTTAACCTCTGGAATCCTTCATTTCCTAAAGGTAATGTAGTAATAATGAAGATCTTTTCATTCATTGTTCTGAGAATTAATTATATGGAACATGTCAAGCATGTGATACAATAGAAAATGTCCAGTCACCTCTGGCAGTATTATTTCCATTTTACTAGAGAAGGATATGACACTGAGGAATTTTATTTGGTGAGTGTGTGTGAGCATTTTTGCATGTCTGTGGTGGGCAATGTGCACACCATATACATGTGGATGCCAGAGGTTGATGCCAGGAATAATTCTAGAATAGTCTTTCACCTTATTCATTGAGGTAGGGCATTTCAATCAAACACAGACTCATCAATATGGTCTTGCAAGGCAGCTTGCCCTGTCTTTGCCTTCTGAGGCTGGAATTATAGTCATACTAGCAGGCCACCAACATTTAGATGGATTCTGGGGATCCAAACTCCAGTCCTGGTGCTTGCAAGCTAAGCTCTTTAACCTCTGAACCATCTCCCCAGTCCAAAGTCAAGGGTACAAGGGGAGGGGATGCCAGCAACTCTCCTGTGCCAGAGCCAACACTTTAGAGTTTAAGGTTAGAAGCTACCACCTTACCTTTAAGGCACCTGAACTTTTGTGGTCTGGATGAAGCCTGAAGAGTTTTCCCTCAGTTCCGTGTTATCCTGGAATCTTTGGAGGCTATATACCATCAGTTGAACAGTGAAATACGTGGGATCTCCTGACTCCCATTCTCAATATTACATTGCCCAGTGTTGGGTACAGAGTGCCCATCTTTCCTTGGACACTGTGATCAACAGTATGACTGTTACTATTGGGAGACAGATTCCCTGGTACCCTTTCAGTTACTCTTAGTAGCAAAGTCCATCTCAAGCTTGCTTCAGCAATTAGTACTATTTGTTGAATCAAATTGGAAAAAGTTTAGAAAGGCAGCCAGATATGGGTGCTTGAAAGAGGTTCTTAAAAGTCTTATTTATTAAAATTCAATATATCTTTAGTATGCTGCCCAGCAGCTCTGTTTCGATGTATTACCCAAGAGAATTGAAACTTACATCCACATGGAGAATCTACACACAAATTCACACGCATTTTATTCATAATAGTCCAAAGCTAGTAACAACTCCAAATGCCAATCAACAAAATGCATAAACAACCCATGTCACAGCCATACAGTGAAATAAATCTCAGCTATAGAATGAATATCCTTCTACACAAAACATGGTTGGATCTCAGTATTGAATGTATTGAATCTCTGTATTGAATGAGAGAATGCAAACACTGAGAGTATATACCGTGCAGCTGCATTCAGGCGAGATTCTAAGAGGGGAACTGTGCTCACATAATGCAGCCACCAGGTGTGAAACATCTTTCTCAGGTGTTGGGCTCTGTCTCTCAAACGCCTTGGTGTTCCTGGCTAGATGCAAGTGTCACAGTTCATCAAGCTATGCGCTCGGCGTGACTCATTTTAGTGAGTTAAACATCATGCCTTGGTAAAGCTTAGCTGAAGAAATCTTGGCTCTGCTAACTTCTGATGTCCTCCTCAGGCAGACAATGATAGCTCTTGGAGGTTTATGCAGTCCAGCAACCTCCATGGAAGGAGAGCTTCTTCCTAGGTAAAAGTCACAGCATAGACTACAATTGCAGCAGCAGAGATCATGTGACATTCTTTGAGCCAATCGTTGTGCCTGGAGGTGGTGTTGAAATGCTTGGATTGGTCAGGCCTAGGTCATGTTGGGCATCCCAGTATTGTCAGCTCTTCAAAAATGCATGGGATTTGAATGGGGAAGGAGTTGTTTTCCAAGAGTGTGAAAAGGTTCTTCCTGATAGAGGAATAGATGTGAGGTAGAGGCTTTCAACTC